TTCTTCTCAAAATGTCTAACCCTAACCATAACGTAGTCACCGTCGCCGCTTTCTGCCCTCAACCGAAGCCATAATCTCCATGACAACAACCCAGATCGCAACATCGCCTACCACCCATCGTCGCTTTCTTTCTCTCATTCTTCTCATCCTTTTCTTTTTCTTCTCTCGAAACCCTAACCCTAGATCTAGATCTATCAACGTCGCAAATCCACATCACCACCCACCGCCGTTGCCATCACTACTCACCACCCACTGTCACCCCTTTATTTTCTTATTCTCTTTCTTTTCCTTATTTTTTTCAAATCCTAGATTTAGATCCACCACTGACGCCAGATCATAACCCACTGTCACTGTCATCACCTTTCACCACTGCCGCCAGATCGCGAGAGAAGATAGAATGAGAGAGCATGGTGAAAGATGAAAGGCAAAGAGACTATGGTGATCATGGGTTGGGTACGACTTAAGAAAGTTACTAGAGATAATGACGGTAGCAGTGAAAAAAGAAAGGAAGAAGAGGTGGGACGCGACAAGGCTGGACAAGGTACTGGTGGTGGCTAGTTGATGATGGTGGCTAGAGGAGTGTGCTGGTGGATTTGATTTTAAGGTTTTTGTCCAAAATAGTAATTTCATTCAAGGACACAATAGTAATTAAAAAATATTGGATAATGGTGTGTATTGATAATAATGATGGTATGTAAATAAAATTATATATACATAAAATGTAGGGGTGTCCGCGGTTCGGTTTGGGACGACTTGCGGTTCGGTTTGGACCCGCCCGCATGTATGCGGTTTAGAAAAAAGTCAACCCGCAACTACCCGCAATGCGGTTTGCGGTTTGTGCGGTTAGGGTTCGTGGATGTGCGGGCGATTGCGGGCGGTTTGCGGATTGAACTTTTTTTCCAAAAATTTATTTTTAAACATTTTTTTTCTCCCATTTTGTCAATCTTTATTTTGGACAATTTTTTCTCATATTTTCTAAAATGCTCCAACATTAATAATTAATGAATTAAAACTTGTAAAAAACTTATAAAATAAAAAACACAACAAATTCAATTCGTAACCTAAACAAATCATTCAAAATCTACATTCTATCATTAACTTGCATTCATCCTAAATTCATCATTCATAACCCAAATAAAAAAATCCTACATTGAAAATTCAACATTCATCATTCCTAACCCAAAAAAGAAAAAGGAAAATAATAATTCTTCATTAACTTACATTCATTCAAAATGTAAAAAAAAAATAAAAATTCATTAACTTTCATTCATCCAAAACCAAAACACAATTAAAAAAAAAAATTGTTTTCAAACTTCATTCAACACAAACCCATGAAATAAAATTAAACAATTTCTAAGATATCAAACTTCATCTTCATGAACCACATCCAATTCAACTTTCACAAATTCCAATTCCAATTCTAATTCTAATTTTAATTCCATGCATTTGGTTGATGAACCCTACACAAAAATAAATTGAAAAAATATAAACTTTAATTTTCAATTATAGTAAGAAATGAAAAGATGAGTATATGAAAAAGAAAAAGAAAACTACTTCATCAGGTAAGTAGAATCCATGTTGTCTACAAAAAAAAATGTAAAAATTCTTCATATAACATTCAAACCCATCACAAAGATAGCATGCTTATCAATTAACAATCAGAATCAATTTTCAGATCAAACAAAACAAATTCATATTTCAGATTTAGATTCAGATTTCAGAATTAATAAAATTAACATACAGTTTCAGATTTCACAACTAAGATCAACATTACACAGTGTGAGACACAACTAAGATCAGATTTCAGATTACACAGTGTGATCAACTAAGATCAACATTTCAGATTCAGATTAACATACAGACATTACAGACATCACAGAATGAGGGAGACATTACACACGCAAATTCGATCGGTGCAGTGCAGAGATGAGAGATCAGGGAGAGAGAGAGAGAGAGATAGATAGAGAGGCTTACCTATGAGACAGTGTGAGTCGATCGAAGCGAGAGAGAGAGAGACAGAGATGAGACTGAACTGATGAGATGAAAGAGTGAGGGAGCCAGATTAGATCAGAGATATATATATATATCAGATATGTATATATATATATATAAAACAACCATCAGGCCGAGAGAGAAAGAGAGAGAGACAGAGATTGAGAGAGAGAGTTTACCTATGAGTAGATCGGCGGTGCGATGATCGGTGCGAATCGATGAGATGAACAACGAGAGAGTGAGAGAGTGATCGGTGCAGTGCAGAGATGAACGAGATCGGTGCAGAGATGAACGAGAGGGTGAGAGAGAGAGAGAGAGGCAATTGAGAGAGTGATGTGAGGGAGACGATTAGATTTAGGGTTTTTTGTTTTGTTTGGTATAGTATAGATGAGGACCAAGTATAGATGGACGGCTAGATTTGTTTGAAAAAAAAAAATAATTAATTTAATGTGGACGGGTTGGGCGGGTGCAGTTCAAACTCACAACCCACACGCAACCCAAAATTTATGTAAAATCCAAACCGCACCCTACCCTAATGTGTTTGCGAAACCGCCCACATGCGTGCGGTTCGGACCGGGTAGGGCGGTTTGGGCGGGTCGAATAAACCTATGGCCAGCCCTAGCGATTGGAAAAAATGAATCTGCATCCGTCCGCCAATCTGGCGGATGTGGATTGAGTGAATTGGCGATTTGGCGGATGGATGCGAATCGGTTTGGTGGTTTAAAATTTTATAAATTTTCAACATAATTCAACTTGTGCACTTTCTCAAAAAAGAAGAAGAAGAAAATATTGCAGTTAATGACTTAAAAAAGTATTAGAATCACTGTATACCTCATCTAAAGAAAGAAAGTTTGAAACTTTAGAATATCACAATTACTACATGCCTCATCCACATATTACAATCACAGTGTAATTCATCCACATAAAGTATTACAATATGTGGTTCTTAAAATATAAAAATAATTCAAACCACCAAAACCATGAACAGAGTAGTAGTAGAGATTGTATGTCTATGTATTGTTACATTTATATATGTTTTAAAAACAAAAATTAATCAGCATATATCATATTTTCTATTTATTATTTTTAGAGTTAGATTTAAAAACTAAAAAATATAGATAAATAATACGCTTATTTTTTTCAATTCAAAAAATATATACAAGTTGAAAACTTTTTTTCAACAAAATATTTAAACTCTTTTTCAATTGAAAACACAAATAAAATATTTAAACAAATTGAAAATACAAAGTTTTATAAATTAATAGGGGTGCTCGCGGTTTGACGGTTCGGTTGCGGCCAAAGGAATCTCAAATCCGCCACCCGTCTGCCAAATTGGCGGATTGGAGAAAATTAATCCGCAATCGTCCGCTCGTCATCACATATCCGTCCAAAATGCAGCGGATCGGTTCGGTTTTGATGGATCGGTATATCCACTGCTCACTCCTAATCGAGAGAGCTAGTTAATGGCTGCACAAGACAACAGTAACACCCAACTCTCCAAAATTGTAAAGAGTTCGTTTGATTAAAATATTCAAAAAATAAAATAAAATAAGTTTTCTAATTTAACAAAATAAAACATCATATTTAACTTATAATCATTATATTTTTTCTTTTATAAAAAATCAAAAATTCATTTCCAAACGAAACTTTTTAATACTAAATTAAAATAATAATAATAATAATAAAAAACTAAAAAACCAACCCAAGCGAACCCAAAAGTAATTCTAGCGTTATGCAATACGGCGGCAGCTGGATTTGAAAATGTCCGAAACACACAATTTTGGTTACAATGTTTGGGATGCATCCCAACACTCTACTATCTCTCTCTCTCTCTACTTTTAACTTCCCGCCCAAACCCTCAGAATTTCCTTTTTCTTTTTACACTCGAACCCCTTCTGTCTTTTCTACCAATCCTCTCTCTCTCTCTCTCTCTCTCTCTCTCTAGAGGCTTCCATCATCTGGAGGTATTTCCCTTGGGTCTCTCTCAGATCTGGAATAGGGGGATTTGGTTTTGGGGTAAATCTGAATAGGGGATTTGATCCAAATTTGTTGGGGTTTTTTCTAGGTTGTTTTGCTTTTGCTTTTTAAAGGGTGAGAGAATTAAGTTGGTTAAGAGTTTTTGTTTTTAAATGCCATCATGTAATTTTCTTTCTTTGTCAAGGCTTTGGTTTGCAGTTTACAAACTGTGTTCTTTGATCATTTTCACCGTAGTGTTTGATTCTCATATTGATTTAGGAGCATATAGCATACAATAGCTATTTATTTTAGACTATTTGTTTCTTTTGTTTTTTATTTCAAAATTTTGAGTTGCAAGTGATTAATGCAGGCCTTTGTAAATCATTGCATGATTAAGGGTTTGTCAATTGTTGATTTAAATTTTTTGAATATTTATTTTAATTTTTTACTTTTTAAATTTTTTAGATTATTTAAATTATTTAAATATTTATGATTTTAATTTTTTGAGTATTTATTTTGAAAAAAATTTATTTCCTCTGTCATATTTTCAATTAAAAAATTGTTTAATGTTATTTTCTATTAATAATAAATTTTTCTAATTGAATTTTAAAAAGAGTTTGGATATGATGTTGATCAGAATTTTCAATAGTGTGAAAGTAATGTGTTTTGTTATGAGTTATAACAATTTGAATTAAGTTTTGAAAATTCTTTTCAAAACTCATAACCAAACAAATTTTCTTACTTCACATGTCAAATCAAACTTTCAAAACTCAATTCCACATTCAATTCAAAACTCAATTCAACACTCTCTTCAAAAACCATAACCAAACAAATTTTCTACACTCAAATCATAATTCTACAACTCACAAATTTAAAATACAATTCATACTCTCAAATCATATTTACAAAACTCTATCAATCACAATCCAAGTAATTCTAGCGTTATGCAATACGGCGGCAGCTGGATTTGAAAATGTCCGAAACACACAATTTTGGTTACAATGTTTGGGATGTATTTGCCCCCAAGATTGACGGTACTGATCACACTCTCTCTCTCTCTCTCTCTCTCTCTCTCTACTTTTAACTTCCCGCCCAAACCCTCAGAATTTGCTTTCTCTTTTTACACTCGAACCCCTTCTGTCTTTTCTACCAATCCTCTCTCTCTCTCTCTCTAGAGGCTTCCATCATCTGGAGGTATTTCCCTTGGGTCTCTCTCAGATCTGGAATAGGGGGATTTGGTTTTGGGGTAAATCTGAATAGGGGATTTGATCCAAATTTGTTGGGGTTTTTTCTAGGTTGTTTTGCTTTTGCTTTTTAAAGGGTGAGAGAATTAAGTTGGTTAAGAGTTTTTGTTTTTAAATGCCATCACGTAATTTTCTTTCTCTGTCAAGGCTTTGGTTTGCAGTTTACAAACTCTGTGTTCTTTGATCATTTTCACCGTATTGTTTGATTCTCATATTGATTTAGGAGCATATAACATACAATAGCTATTTATTTTAGACTATTTGTTTCTTTTGTTTTTTATTTCAAATTTTTGTGATATGTTCATGCTTAGATTCTCATTATATTGTGTTCTTTTTATGCAAAGCTTGATTTGAGTTGCAAGTGATTAATGCAGGCCTTTGTAAATCATTGCATGATTAAGGGTTTGTCAATTGCTTTCTATGGAACTAAGGCCATGTTTGTTTGGGCGGATTGAATTAGTATTCCCATGACTAATAGTTCTAGGACTACGAATCCATTGGATTATGTATCCTATCTTAACTAATAGTCAAGTTTAAAATAATTAGTTCGTACTTCAATTGTTTAACCAAATATCAGATTAATAATTTTATTAGACTAATAGTCCAATCCCAAACTCATGTCCACCCAAACAAACATGGCCTAAATATTAGATTTATGATAGTATCAATTCTGCAATGAATACAATTAAGGTTCGGTCTATTGTATTTTGTTGTGGTTGTTTGATTGATGGTGTTACTCATGAGCGTTGATTATATTGTAAGTTTTTTAGGATTTTGAAATTCCAACTCTTACCTTTGAAGTATTTGTTCATTCCTCATGAGGTTCTCCTCTGTTTGTGTGTGTATGTGTGTGTTAAAATTTATTAGGGCAATCCCATCTTCATGCGTTTCCATTTCAGAAACTCATGTTGAGAGAAAAATTGACCCTCTTTTGTCGTTGGCCGTTAAATTGTTTTCCCAGTCCATTGCAATGTCTTGCAAAATAATGAATAATCATAAATAGTTTGGAATTGCACTTTCTGTCTTGCATATATAGTTTTTTGAGCTATTGAACTTTTTGAACCATGACTCAATCCAAATTCAATCTCCATGGAAGGCACTACGAGTCGAGGACATTATGTATTTGTGTGGTCTTTCTTAATATATAATAGAACAACTTATAGGATTTAAGCCCCATGTAGATTGCCTAGTAGTAATTCCACATGGTTCAGAAGTTGACATTTGTGCTTAAGTTCAGTATTTGAAAACTAATTAATTAGTGTTTTTTGTTTGTAAACTTCAATTTTCTTAGGAATATTTTTAGTGCGTAGGAGAACATATTTAACCTCTTTTTATGTTTGAAATTTTAATTTGAAGCGGAATTTGTTGTAACATGTCGGTTAAAGAGCCCCTCCACAGCTTTGCCCCTTCCACCCAACCATGGCCTTTCCCTTCCCTCCCCTCCCCTGACCCCTTCCCTCCCAGCAAACTGACACAGCCTTGCAAGCTTTGAAATCATAGCAATGGTAGGGCTTCGTTTTTGTAGAGGTTGAAGTAATGAAAGAATTAGTGCAAGAAAACTTTCACTTATTATTTATATTATATTCTCAACATGTGTGTGTGTATGTGTGTGAAAAAAGAGGTATCATTTTAGACCCAGATCTGGTTATTTGTTCAAGGATTCATGTTCAGCACTTTTATGTATTTTCATTGAAAATTTTATGGAAACCCAAGTTACCGTCTCTTATATCAATGTCAATGTCAATGTCCAGCACAAATCTATATGAGTGTATGCACGTTTCAGTCATCTATCATTTGTTGAATTTATTGAAGGCCAAGCCCCATCTTCATTCTTGTATGATTTTTCATTGAAATTGTATGTATATAGACAGCAGCAAGCAAGCAGGGTTGTGAATTTTATTTTCATATCTTTTATTAACCCCCATTCTTTGCTGTTGGTTTTCTTTCAGGTTAACAAAAGCAAACAATAATAAATAAGTAATGGGTAGAAGTCTGAGCCCAATTCTGCGGCAAGAGTTGGAAAATCTTGAGAAAGGTGCAGATAGCAGAAAATCTGCAATGAAAGCGCTGAAATCATATGTGAAAGACTTGGATTCAAAGGCAATTCCACTCTTTCTTGCTCAGGTTTCTGAAACCAAAGAGAAGAATGGTTTGGCATCATTGCCATCTGGGGAGTACACAATTTCCCTCTATGAAGTTCTTGCCCGCGTCCATGGCCCAAAAATTGTCCCTTTGATTGATAACATCATGACCACCATCATCAACACTTTAACTTGCAGTGCAGGTTCTTTTGCTCTTCACCAGGCTTGTTCAAAGGTTGTCCCAGCCATAGCAAGGTACGGGATTGATCCCACAACTCCACAAGACAAGAAGATGCATATAATACACTCTCTCTGCAAGCCCCTTTCTGATTCTGTTTTGGCTAGCCAAGAGAGCCTTTCTTCTGGATCTGCCCTCTGCTTAAAGGCTCTTGTTGATTCTGACAATTGGCGCTTTGCTTCAGCTGATATTGTCAACGAGGTTTGTCAGAGAGTTGCTGGAGCCCTAGATAACCCCACACAGACACAGACCAATTCTCACATGGCCTTAGTTATGGCTTTGGCCAAGCATAATAATTTGATTGTTGAAGCATATGCAAGGTTGTTAATACAATCAGGATTGCGGATTTTGAATGCTGGGGTTGCTGAGGGAAATTCTCAGAAACGGTTATCTGCCATTCAGATGGTTAACTTTTTGATGAAATGTTTGGATCCAAAAAGCTTATTCTCAGAGCTTGGATTGATTATTGGGGAGATGGACAAGTGTCAATCTGATCCGATGGCTTATGTTAGAGGGGCTGCTTTTGAGGCTCTGCAAACTGCAAGAAGGATAGCCACGGCCACAGAGAAAGGCTTGAAAATTGATCGGGATATGATGATGGGTTCATCTACAGGATCAAGTTTTGGTAGGAGGGGCAATAATAGTCGGAGGAGAAATTTATTATCGAGTGCTGGGGATCAATCACCTGTGGCTGCATCACCCGAATCACAGACAGTTGATTCTTTTGTTGGATATGATTCTTTGATTGAATCACCAATTTCCAATTGTCAGGCCTCTGGTGAGCTTAGTTATGATCATGATCGAAGGAGTGTCAATCGGAAACTTTGGAGGAGGTATGAGAATGGTGGAGTGGATGTATCTCTCAAGGATGGCTTGTACTCTGAGGTGACTCGTGGAAGTGCCACTCAGAGCCCCAAAGGTGGTGGATCTTTCGATAGCGAAGGTGATGATTACACAGACGGATTTGCAGGATTCTTGCAGGGAAGTACTAGAAGAGACAGAGTTCCAAGAAGTACTACTCCTAGTCCTCAGGTACCCATAAAAATCAAAATGTTTGCTTATTTGAATTCATTTATACAAATAAAAAATTACAGTAAGGAATGGGATACATAAATTGAAGCCGCAAGGAGAATTGTCCTTGCAATCAAAATGGGGAAATAACAAGAAAACAAAAAAGAAGTAAAAAGTAAAGTTCAATTTGGAACTTCTTCCTGCAGGATGTCGTAGAGACAGAATAATCTAGTTGTACCAACAATCTAAGAATTGAAAGTTGTTGTACAAGTGAAGTGTTGGTGCATATTTCATGCACAATATATGAAAATTAGTAATTATGGCTGTAACTAGAGCATTCTATACACTTTCTTTATTATATATAAAATATGTATCTATTTTATAATTTTGTCACATGGATAAAAATAAGAAGACAGGAGAAAAAATTATCTTTGGATATAATAATAAAAATGGAGAGCTTTTGAAGGAACTATAAATAATCAAGAAGAAGAAATATCTCCTCTATGTATCAATTCTTTCCGCATGTCTATATTTTTGTGTTGTATTTTTTTAAACAGATTTTCAAGTAAATTGTAGGTGTGTTTCTTTGGGGGAGCTTTGGGTTTTCAAATTTTTGTGATAGCTGCTGCAAATGCAATTACCCAATGAAATATTAAACAACAAACCTTTTTGTCCAACTTGGAACTTTTAGCATTTTTCATACTCCCAATCGTATGTGTTGTAGCTGATTATGCACAAAGTTTAAAGAATGGAACTTTGAATGATAAATGTACAAAAATGTTGTTTGTCTTGAATAAAGTTTTGGGAATTATTATTGTAGATTTGGAAAAAATGATGATTAATACTTTTTTTTTCAAACTAAGACACAATTAGAGGAGGGAGTATTAAGAATTTTTTTCACTATTTTCTGTTTTCTGTTATCAGGCTTGAAGTAGGCTTTTTTTTTTTGTGTGTGTGATAGTGTTGATTCTATCTATACTCCTTTTGTCTTTCAGAGGTCTCGCTATCAGATTAATGTAGATAATGTGAAGATTTTCGAAACTCCAAGGAAGCTCATTCATTCTCTTCAGGATCCAAATAATGAGAGAGCCAACTTCTCGGAAAAACATTCTAGAATGTTTAGAAGCCCATCCTCCAGCAAATTCGAGTGGAGCCCTACATCCAAATATGACCAAAATGGTCTTTCACCCAATATCAACTATGTGGTCGAAAAGGATGGAGAACTACATGTTGGCAATGAACAATTCCAAGGTGGTTCAGAATCCGTATCATCAACAGAAGATATTCCTATTAATGCTGATTTGCAAGTGGCTGAGAAGGTGGTTCCTGGAAGTGAAGTTGAATCGCTGAACTTTGACAATCAGAAAAACAATTGCAAGTCTGCTATCAGTATGGTCTGTGGTGTCTTTGTTATGCTATTTGCAGTTTTTATTTCTTTACTGTGGATTGATGGCCAGGATGAAAGCTGTAACCTTGTTCCCACCTAATTTACCCATTGAAATGTATCAAAATCAAAGTAGGACAATTATTAGTGGTAAACACTTTGGAGTTGTGATCTTGAGAATCCAATGGCTTTTGTAATCAAAGAATTATATTAGGTTATCCTAACCATGAGTAAGATGTTTGATGTGCTTTATAGAAGTTAAATCATTGTGTTATCTTGGGACAATCATTCTTCCTATCTATGCGTGTCTTTTGTATTCTTTAGGACATCACTGATTTGAGTGTTGCTTTACTGTAATGAGTCTCATGACTAAAATTGCAAGGTATTTGTGATATGATTTGTTGTTTTCATTTGAGTACTACTCAGTTGCCTCATGTTGAATCAAGAAAATAGTTGCTCTTTTTTTTTAATGCCAAACTTAAAATTTCTGAAATATGCTTTTTCTTCACTATATCCTTTACTTCCATCCCAATACAACGCCTCCAAATGAGAACATATTGAACTAACACAATTTTGCAGAAACTTGTTTGTACTCTAAGTGTAGAAGATGTGTATTTCTCCTATCCAAATTATCTTCCTTGGGATGAAAGCAAAAACATGCTTCAGTGGGGAGTGTTTAGAGATTTGGGTTTTGCAAATGCTGCGAGCCTCTCCATTCACCTCCAGGACCGAGGATTATAGGTTTGAGCATGGCAGATTGGCCTACGCATAGATAAGCATATTTGCCATACCATTCATGACTTGAGCCAGGACTGAACATGTACAGTTCGTTGAACCCATCTCTTCCTACTGCAACTGAATTTCTTCTACCCTGTTTCATATTCCGAAAACAACCCCCAAGAGAAAACAAAATTTGTCAGTTTATTATTAGATGATTGTAGCGCCAAAAGTTATATAGGCTAGTAGGATGAATTACCCTATCAATTATTGTGAAGTACCGTGGTGCACTGGTGTAAATCCTACTCATTTTGTCCGTTAAGTGCTTATAGTTGTCGTTCTCTTCACCCTCCATCTCTTCTTCTCTTTCCATCTCATTGCTCCGATTCCCTGAACCCCAGGCAGACAAAAGTTGCTTGACTGCAGTAGGACTTTTCCATGATTTTTTAGAACCCGAATCGTTCCTTTTGGTGGATTCTGGAGGAATAATACTAAATTTTGATGAAAATGATGGCTTGTTGTAGAAATTTGATCCTTCCAATCCAATTGCATAAGTTGCTTCTGGTGTACTCACTGTCAAATGACTCGTAATAGAGCCAGTCAGACGAAGAGACGAATGTTTTGAGTTAGAGATTACAAGCTCTGAGCTTAAGAGATCTTGCTGGAGAGTTAGAATGTGTTTGACTTCAATCATATCCTGTGAATTACTGCAAACCAGTTCTACCTGCATTTGTCAAATTCTCAGAATTTGCTCAAAAACCCAAGCACAAGAGATCACAAAAATAAATAAATAAAAGCAAATAGGGGGGGAAATACATATAGGGCTGCTACCTGTTTGGCAAGTGAGAGAAACAATACAGACATAACTTCTAATCAATCATGTTCTACTTTTGGTGTAAGCACGGCTATTATTTTTTTTAAGTACTTCCAATTATTTGGGTTTTTTTTTTTTTTTTTTTGAAAATTTGAAAAAAAAAAATTTCTGAATACAACTCACTTTGTAGCGGAAACCAAACAGTTGTTTTTGAATTTTGGAAAACTGTTTTCGTACAAAATTAAAAAAATAATATGAAAACAATGTTTGTCTTCAGACTTTCATTGTTTTATTAACATGAACTACTTTTTGTTCACAAGCTTAACACATCTTTTTCTATCTAAACCACATTTTAGTATAAGAATGGTGTCATGGTTCTAATCCGGAAAGAAGTTCCAATCTCTGAGTCTTCTCTTTGTCTTGGCACTGTTTATATTTATATATATAGTGTAGTGTTGTTTTAGACAGATTTGTAGGCCATTTGTAAGAGTGTTTATTTGATGGAGCTTGGGGTTCTACCTCTTATACAGCTATAGAATAGAACCAATAGATTTAAGGATTTATCAACTACAGAGGACTTAATCTTCTTAAAGAAAACGAGATAACTGCACCTTTTAATCCACTTAGTATAAATCTTTTATTTGAATATATTTTCTAGTGGTAATAACATCAACAAGAAAATATAAGATGAGAGACTAACCCTAATGGAATCTTGAGGACTTCCTCTAACGTCGCCAAGGGCCCAAGTATTTGGTGACCATGAAACGCCACTATCACTTTCACAATTGAAGGCTAAAGACACCCCACCTTGAATTTGAATGACATCATCATCATCTTCATTCTCCTTCTTCTTCTCCACTTCTGATACAGATGTATGCAACAGCTCAAGAATGCCCCCATGCCACATGCGAGCCTTGTAGGATGTGATCAAGCCACTTGGCAGCATCAGGGTGGCAACACTTCCATTATCCAATGCCATCCTGACAACACCACAGTTGTCACTGAGTTCCTCAAAGGTGAGTCCATAGCCACTCAACTCCTCACTCTCCCAGTAGCCCATATTGATGGATGGTGGATATGCAATTGAAGCCATTGTTGCCAATGGAAAATCTCTCTTGCTGTTTCTGAATTGAATAGGAGGAAAATATGAGTGTAAAGATGTCAAACTCGTACTACTGCATTTTATAGGGGAAAGAAGAGGAATGAAGTTAGAAGAGAAAAGAGAACTGTGAACCATACTCATGTTTCTTTCAAATTCTTGTTTTTTTCTTTTTCCCAACCTTACATTGTAGCATACCCTTTCACAAATGAATGAGAGAGAGAGAGAGAGAGAGAGAGAGAGAGAGAGAGGTTCATCTAGGATAAGACTAGTTGTTTTGGTTGGCTGTAGTTGAAGACTCCAAAGATAATTATTATTAATTTTCTTTTTCTTGTCATTTGACAGCTGAGAAGTGTAACACCCTCTTTTTTACTGATATTCAGGTGAGATGCACTGTGGTTGGCCAAGGATTTAGCCTTATCTTCATCTTCTTAGTTTAAAATTGTTTTTGAGCCAATGGTGAATTAATAGTTGTTGGCATCAATGTTTTGAAATCCTTATCGTTATTAAAATCAAGAAAGAGACCGAAATGTCATTCAGAATTGAATGGTGATGTTTTTTTTTTTTGAGGAAAAGTTAAAGACAAATATATAAATATGCAAGTAGTGTTAACCAAATTAATTAATTTATGAGTTAATATATATATATTGTTAGTTGGAAAAATTAATTAAATTGTATCTAAGAGAAAGAAAGCTTAATGTAATATATTATTTATATTATTATATTATTACTAACCGTAATTTCCACCGATTTCACAAAGAGAGGTCTATTTTCAAGAGGAAACGGGTTTTAGGATTTAGGATTTCCCCGAACGATAACCAATCGAACTGACCAATCCAGTTTGATTTTAAAAAATTAGTTTGCATAATAAGATGTTGTATCTCTCTCTCAAATCTCGCTTCCATTTTTTGCTAGTAAAGATGCATGCACCACAAAACAGCCCAAATATGTTGATCTTACATCTCAATTTGTCAAAAACCATTCAAAATAAATTTAGACTAGAAAGTTTTTCTTCATCTGTCCATTTTGTGCATAGAATAAAAAGCATTTGATTTGCTGAAGCAATATCGACATCATCATTATCAATATCATTATTAACAAATGAAATGACAGACTACTGTAACAGCAAGAAACCGTTTCTTCCTCTACTATCGAATAGAAAAAAAGGAAAAAAAAATCAATTCCCCCGGAGAAAATTGGAAAAAAAAGAAAAAAGAAAAAAAAGTTCATTTACTAATTTACAGATTTACAGAACTCTAGTGCAATAAGAATCTAAAACTATAAAATATTTACAATGTCAAACAAGTAGTAATCCACCAATTCTTTCAACCATCACTTTACTGATTGTACCTAAACAATTTAGGAAAATTTGACTATAAATCCCCTTACCTTCCTTTCATTGTTAAAAGGACTAAGAAAAAAATTATATTTTTTAAATCCCCTCATAATTATAAAATCTTGCATAAAAGACAAAAATTATTATTTAAATATTTTATTAGACTATTACACCCTCAACTAAATTTTCCCACCTTCTCCACCCACTCTCTCCCCACCTTCACTGTCTCTCTCCTCCCTCTCTCCCTTCTCTAACTCCTTCAAGCTTCAGATCTGGAAGCTCAGCTACCGCCTCTGGAACCCCTGCGTCGATCTCGCCAACGCCGCCGGCTTCTGATCCTCTTCTGCCACTCCCTCCGGCGAACACGCCAAGTTCCGCCACGTCTCTGCTGGTTTGCTCTTCTTATGTATATGTGTATGTATGTATTTATATATATGTGTGTGCATGTATGTATGTATATATGACTCATACATACATATGTATATGTATATATATCGGTAAGTGAGTATATGTATGTATATTACGTGATATTTTTTTTAAACATAGATCTGAGTTTTGAATATATATGTGTCACTACAGGAAAATACACCTTTGGCGACTAAATTTTTAGTCGCCAAAAGTCCCTTTTTAGTCGCCAAATGTCAAATTTCCACTTTCCCCGACAAAATCTGAAATCAAAAGATAGAGAGATATTTGGATGTGTTCTCTGAAATGACCACCTCAATCAGATTATGATTATGTTGATATTTAGATATTTTTGTTTAGTTTTTGATCTGTGTGTTTTGTGGTTATATATCTTTCTAATATAGATTTATGTTTTTACTAGTTTTTGAATTGACCTGTTCATACTCAGCTTGTTCAATGGATGATCGATCTATTAAAATGGATGATCTATTCAATTTCTCTCTCTCTGATAAGAATCTCTCTAATAAGAATTTCACACAGAAATTTTACTAATCAGAGTAAAGTTTACTTTGAATTAGAGTAAAATTTTACTCTGGTTAAAAAATGTTGATTTTCTCAGCAACCAAATTATATTTGGTTTTCTTGTTATGTTTCTGTGATTTTCTCAGTAACCAAACACACAAGGTTATTAATACATGATACTTAGTGTGATTCAAAGTGGATACTCTCCTTAAATCATAGTAAAATTTTACTCTAAATTAGAGTAAAGTTTACTATGATTTAAAGTAAAATTTTACTCTGGTTAAAACCATGTTGATTTGCTTAACGATATAATTTTACTTTGAATTATAGTAAATTTTACTCTGATTCAGAGTAAAATTACACTTTCAGAGTAAAAATTTACTCTGAATCATAGTAAAATTTTACTCTAATTCAAAGTAAAATTGTACTTTCAGAGTAAAGTTTTACTCTGAATCAGAGTAAAATTTTACTCTGGTTAAAAACATATTGATTTGCTTAACAATATAAAATTTTACTTTGAATCAAGTAAACTTTACTCTGATTTAGAATAAAATTTTACTCTAAAATGCACTGTGAAGATGGCTTAATAGGAGAGCTAATAGATATGAGGGTAATATAATAAAAGAAACAAGTTTCAAAATATTAGAGAGTTTTGAAAGTACCTATATAATTCTTATCTTTTTGAAAGACAAATTAGATAGTAAGGAATCTATCACCAAATCCCCCAACAATTTATCATTTAATAGGTTCAACCCTTAAGCACTTATCCCTAGTCACTGACTGGGTAAAATATGCCATCTTTGATGCCTACATGGGGTGATTCCCTTGATAGATCCATGGTTATCAGAATCCCGATCCGGATCTTACGATCCTACGATCTTACGATTCATTTAAGTACAATCGATCCGGATCGTGTAAAAATCTCCTTATAGGTAGGATCTTTCGATCCTGGTAGTGGGATCTTATAGGATCATGGAATCCCAATCCGAATCCGATCATATTTACAAGCCTTATTTTGTATTGTATGACATATTTTATTGTAAATTTTATATTTGTTGTCTAAATATCAATTTATGTGGTCAAAATAAATGATAAAAATTAAGTCGTATTGAATCAAACAGACTAAAAAAAACAAACTAGAAAACAAACATTCAAATATTACGATAATTTAAGAAAATTAAATAGTCGAAAAAACAAACTTAGCTTTAGCGGAGTCTAACGAGGGTAAGATGATTGCAACTTTATCCCAATTTTTGGAGAGATTATTTTTGTGACTTGAATCCGCTCCACCAGCGATGCTAACAACAAACCTCATCATTCGGTTAAGTTGTTCTTTTAAGTTCTTAATCTATTTTCATATCTTGTTAAATATTTTTTTCTTCACTTTTTATGCATTATTGTAGATTGTGAATTATTTTGTTTACTAAAATTCTTCTTCTTCTTCTTCATCACCTTCTTTTTTGCTAAAATAGCAAAACTCTTACCATCGAGTTTTCTATTTGTATACTTATCTATATGTACATTTTTACATGGAGTATATTAATATTTTTCACAATATTTTCACTCTTTTTAATAAAATATAGGCTCATTTTGTCTGTATACTTTTATAAAAATACTGTTATTTAAATTAAATGTACTTTATGTAATTTGTCTTTTCGGTAGGATCTTACGATTTTTCGATCCGATTCTACGATCCAGATCCTATTAAACACCTCCAACCGATCCAACGTAAGTCCCGATTTTATAACACCTTGGATAACATCCGCCCCAACACCACAAAATCAAAACCAACAAGGTAGAAGAACCAAGCAAATATAGATGAAAAAATAAAGCATCACTGCAGATCTTTCTATGAGAAAACCCTAAAGATGAACCGAGAGCTCCAAACCTACTAAAACTTGTCGGTTTTAAAGCAACTCAAAAACCCTCTAAAACCTGTTAAAAAAACTTCTCTTCAATATATAAATAAAACCAATTTTTTTTTTTTCAGAACCATGAGATTTTCAAAAGCCCACGAGTGCTTTAACAAAACCAACAAAATTCAACCCCTTGAATAATCATAACAAGAAAATATATCTTCACAATCAACCAGTTCATAGCCAACGGAATTTTATATAAGGGAATTCCCATCCATAGCAAGGAAGGATCACATCAAAGCCAATTAGACCATTCCTCGTCAAAATTCTCTCGAAAAAATTCTACGATAGCGTTACATTTTGAAGGACTTCAAATCACAAGACCATGTTTTCAAGTCCAAGGAGAGATGAGCAGAAATAAGTATAAGTTACACATTCATTTCCATCTCAATATCAACACTCACCACCAATTTCCTCTAACCAAATGTTTGCATACAGATGTTGATCAACAAGCTTCAAAGCAAAATATGTACAGATGGCTGAACTAGAACTCCAATTTCTTTACAGTTCTTTTTAGAAGTTAATTTGTTGTTATAGATACAAAATATGTTTTTTTTTTATTAATACATATTTATTGTAAGTATTATATCTTATATATATTATAAGGATTCTATCTTATATATATATTATAAGAATATCTCATATATAGTTCTATACACTTATACAGATGAATAAGATAAGACTAATGAAAATGCGAGAGAGAGAAAAGGCGAAAAGGGGAGAGAGAGAGCGAGAGAGAAGGCGAGAGAGAGAAGGCGAGAGACGCGATCTGGTCGAAGACGTGATTGAGTGAGAGACGCGACTGGATGGAGGTCATCGAAGTCGACTGGTTCGAGCGAAGGGTCGACTGGTTTGAAGGTCATCGTCTTCTCTTCCGTTTGAAGGACAAGCCGACCAGGTTTCCTTTCCTTTCTCCTTTACTCTTCTTCTTCTTTTCCGTTTGTGTCCAGATTTGGTGAACACGCGTGTCCCCGCCGTGTCTTCTGTAAAAAAGTAAATAAATTAAAAGGACACGCCCGTACGTATCCCCGGCGTGTCCCCGTGTCCGACACTGCCACGGCATCAAATTTGACGTGTCCATGCTTCATAGCTTATAACTTTGGAGGTACCAACCTACTACTACTATACTAGGCTTGAAAAAAATTATTGCCTTAGCAAGTGGTGCTAACCAACTTCAAGTACTAGAGAATCAAAGCAGGTCAAAGCTTAAAATAAAATATATATTAAAAAAAAATAAAAAATGCACGACTTTAGGTGCACACTCAAGACAACAAATAACTAGGCCAAGCTTGAATTTGTAAACTTCTTCAGCATACTTGCAATGGGGTCTGATTGCTTGCTTCTCATCCTCCATCTCATTGTATCTCTCAGATATCGCGGTAGTATTTCCCCAAACTTCAACATTTGTTTCAAATTCCTTTCCACAAGAAGATTTGAAAAACAGTGGTGCCTATTAAAGTGAACTTTTATGTGGTCTTTGGCCCATGAAGACATAATGACCAATGGTATCTTTCAGAAGAGGAGACCTCATCACCTTCTTTGTCCTGAATAGTGCATTATGTGCAGGCAGAATGGGGAATCAGCAAATCACTTATTCTTGCAATCCCTGCGGCATTGAGCCTATGGCATTGATTATTTCATTTGAGGTCATTTGGGTGGCTCCAGGGTGCTAGTGATCAAATGTAGTTCACTCATTTTCCAGGCCCTGGTGGTAATAAGAAACCAAAAACATTTTGGCACTAGGCTCTTTTTGCCATCTTTGGGATATTTGGTGAAAAAGGAATGCAAGGATCCTTGAGGGTAAGATGGCAGATTTGAATTCGTTATGAGATAATGTATGTCAATTGGCTTTGTTTTGGGCTTACATCTCTCCTTCATTCAAAAAGGAGTTCCGCTCTTTTTGATATCCAGCGACTGCAAAGATGTTTATGAATCTTATTTTTTTTTTCTCTTTGTTATATGCCTGTTAGCGGTTTTACTTTTCATTTGCTTGTAAGAGGATTTCTTGCCTTTGTATCTCTCCTTTCAACATTAATAAAATCTATTTTTGTTGCTGATCAAAAATACATATCTTGAACTTGTTTCAATTTTTGCCAATTCAAGGCTTTTTTTTTTCTTTTGCAACTTTCAGGAATCTTTCATTTCAGCTTTACAATGGAACACTTTGGTTGTTTGCAATCCTACCGTGTAAGTCTCTTATCAAACTAGAGTGATGAGCTTCAATTGTTTTCCTCCTTTTCCAAGCTCATGCTCTTGGTAAGGAAATAGAATAATGACCAGCTCAAAGTGCACAATCTTCCACTGCGGATAAATTGGTTTAAGCATCCATTCGCAGATGAATGCATACACTAAGGCCAAGTTTGGGAACACCCCAAAAAGCCAAAAAGCCAAAAAGTTACTCAAAAAGTTAAAAAGTTATCACTATTCATCAAAAGTCAACAATTACGGCTGCACAACTCCCAATTCTAATTTTCTCCTACAAATCAATTTTTACAATTTTTTATTACACATTTTTCCATAAAAAGTCAAAAAGTTAACCCAAACATTCATATTTTCTACCTCAACTTTTTAGTCTAAAAAGACAAAAAGTGCACTTATTTAGTCTTCCCAAACTTGGCCTAAGTCTTACACTAATTATTGTTTACATCCAAAAGTCAACAAGAAAAGGAAAGTGAAGAGAATCGAAGATGAAAAAACAAAAACCAACATAAGCAAGCCTGATGGCCTTATCTTTTGAAAGTGATGTGAACAGAGGACTACAACCCTGTAACAGGACAATAAATTTCAATATGCGACTTATAACATGTAATGCATAATGTGTAACGCATAACTCACATGTAATCTCACTGGATTCTAAAAGTATAAAACAAACTCAACCACTCAAATAACGGCTGAACACATGTAGAAGATGATATTAGACACCGAAGGAAAGATTAAAGCCAGTGACACAAGCATTAATCAGCATCAACAGCGCAGATAATATTATACACCAAAGGTAAGATCAAATTCAGTTGACACAAGCATTTAGCAGCATCTTTATTCTACAAACAGAAGCAAAGCCACCCCAAAACCTGTTATTTTCAAATCTTAGCTAGTGCTTTGCAGCATCAGAAGTTAAGAACTGCTAAAGTAATCTTATGCTCTGAGAAACTGTTTCAAGCAATCTCTCCAAAGGCAGCATCTGGCAGGGGAAAACAAAACAACCTTGAACCTTTGTAAGCCAAAATCCAAAATCATCTTCATTTGCTGATATACCAAAACCAACACCAGTACCCTTTGAAATACCAATTTCATTTAAATTCACTACCCCCAAACTTTTTTTTCTAAGAATACCTGATACCAAAAGGAAGACATAATACCAATGGAAATAGCATTTTACCAGTCATTCATCTTCTATTCAAATCAATGATGACAACTAATCCCTCGAAGCCTCACATGCCATAACCCAAGATCCATTCTTTCAAAAATTAACTCAACCCTGTGTTTGGTTGGGAGATTTGAGAAGTGATTTGGAAAAAGAAAGAGAAAAGGTAAGTGAAATATGAATAAAATATACCTACATTTTACTCAGTTTTTCAACTCTAAACATAAATACTCTTTACAACTCTAACAATAATCACTTGCTACTTCAAATTTTAATCAGAAGTGTATACACACACACACAAACACACACAAAAAAAAAAAAAAAAAAATTGGAAAAGAAAAAAAACCCAAAAAAAACACCAATGGTATCTTTCAGAAGAGGAGACCTCATCACCTTCTTTGTCCTGAATAGTGCATTATGTGCAGGCAGAATGGGGAATCAGCAAATCACTTATTCTTGCAATCCCTGCGGCATTGAGCCTATGGCATTGATTATTTCATTTGAGGTCATTTGGGTGGCTCCAGGGTGCTAGTGATCAAATGTAGTTCACTCATTTTCCAGGCCCTGGTGGTAGTAAGAAACCAAAAACATTTTGGCACTTGGCTCTTTTTGCCATCTTTGGGATATTTGGTGAAAAAGGAATGCAAGGATCCTTGAGGATAAGATGGCAGATTTGAATTCATTATGAGATAATGTATGTCAATTGGCTTCGTTTTGGGCTTACATCTCTCCTTCATTCAAAAAGGAGTTCCGCTCTTTTTGATATCCAATGACCGCAAAGATGTTTATGAATCTTTTTTTTTTTTTCTCTTTGTTACATGCCTGTTAGCGGTTTTCCTTTTCATTTGCTTGTAAGAGGATTTCTTGCCTTTGTATCTCTCCTTTCATCATTAATAAAATCTATTTTTGTTGCTGATCAAAAATACATAGGATTTCTTGAACTTGTTTCAATTTTTGCCAATTCATGGCTTTTTTTTTTCTTTTGCAACTTTCAGGAATCTTCATTTCAGCTTTACAATGGAACACTTTGGTTGTTTGCAATCCTACCATGAAAGTCTCTTATCAAACTAGAGTGATGAGCTTCAATTGTTTTCCTCCTTTTCCAAGCTCATGCTCTTGGTAAGGAAATAGAATAATGACCAGCTCAAAGTCTGCGGATAAATTGGTTTAAGCATCCATTCGCAGATGAATGCATACACTAAGTCTTAACACTAATTATTGTTTACATCCAAAAGTCAACAAGAAAAGGAAAGTGAAGAGAATCGAAGATGAAAAAACAAAAACCAACATAAGCAAGCCTGATGGCCTTATCTTTTTATGTAAGAATGCTTTTGAAAGTGATGCGAACAGAGGACTACAACCCTGTAACAGGACAATAAATTTCAATATGCGACTTATAACATGTAATGCATAATGTGTAACGCATAACTCACATGTAATCTCACTGGATTCTAAAAGTATAAAACAAACTCAACCACTCAAATAACGGCTGAACACATGTAGAAGATGATATTAGACACCGAAGGAAAGATTAAAGCCAGTGACACAAGCATTAATCAGCATCAACAGCGCAGATAATATTATACACCAAAGGTAAGATCAAATTCAGTTGACACAAGCATTTAGCAGCATCTTTATTCTACAAACAGAAGCAAAGCCACCCCAAAACCTGTTATTTTCAAATCTTAGCTAGTGCTTTGCAGCATCAGAAGTTAAGAACTGCTAAAGTAATCTTATGCTCTGAGAAACTGTTTCAAGCAATCTCTGCAAAGGCAGCATCTGGCAGGGGAAAACAAAACAACCTTGAACCTTTGTAAGCCAAAATCCAAAATCATCTTCATTTGCTGATATACCAAAACCAACACCAGTACCCTTTGAAATACCAATTTCATTTAAATTCACTACCCCCAAACTTTTTTTTTCTAAGAATACCTGATACCAAAAGGAAGACATAATACCAATGGAAATAGCATTTTACCAGTCATTCATCTTCTATTCAAATCAATGATGACAACTAATCCCTCGAAGCCTCACATGCCATAACCCAAGATCCATTCTTTCAAAAATTAACTCAACCCTGTGTTTGGTTGGGAGATTTGAGAAGTGATTTGGAAAAAGAAAGAGAAAAGGTAAGTGAAATATGAATAAAATATACCTACATTTTACTCAGTTTTTCAACTCTAAACATAAATACTCTTTACAACTCTAACAATAATCACTTGCTACTTCAAATTTTAATCAGAAGTGTATACACACACACACAAACACACACAAAAAAAAAAAAAAAAAAATTGGAAAAGAAAAAAAACCCCACAACAACCGAGCACATTCTTACTTCATTTAATTAGATAACTAACATGAACGTGTTCATATATATATATATATAAAGAGAGAGAGGTATAATGAGAAGAAATTCAGAAGCCCAATTGAATTGAGGAAGAAATGATATCTGTCTGCACTAGTTTTGATATTAAGCCATTGATTGATTGTACAAAACGAGAAGGCAAATTCAACATGCTAGCAAAGAAGAAAAGAAAAACAAAGATTTCAGAAAACCTCTAACCCATACAGAACACCGGCGTACTTCTCAGGACCATCTTTGCAGAAGTAAACCCCTCTGATCTTCTGAAACGCATGCCAAGTCAACAAGCTATCAGAACCGGCTTGATGGCACTTCCCCACTACTCTCTCCACCTCAAGAGTCTTCGCAACAAGGTCCAAACCACCATACAAACTCTGACAAAATCTCATTAAGTGCTTCACATCATAAACCCTAGCCCCAAAAAACACCCTGAGCAGACTCATAAACTCACTCAACTCCTCTGGCAAGGGTTTCCGAGTCAGGATCTTAACCAGGTATCCGAAATCGTAAGCGCTGTGAAAAGTAACCCAACTCACCAACTCGTTACAAACCAGGCCAGACGACATCATCAACTCGGCGAACCTGGCCGATTCGATCCCGAACTCGCGATTTTTCTCGAACTCCACGCCTTGACGCCTCAACAAGTCGATGGAGTCAGAGGCGTGGAAATCGCGATCCAAATCGAAGTCTTTGAAGTTGAATTCCCAGATGTAGCAATTGTTGGTGCCGAGATCGGGGAGATTACCGTCTGAATCGGAGAGAGTGAGGCCGATCTGAATGAGATTCAAGAGATCAACGTTGGCTTTCAGGGTCGCGTAATGCGCGGTGGGGTTGCGATTGCGGAAGAAATTCATTCCGCTCTTGGGACGAACCACCACACCTGGGAATTCTGTGTCCATGGAGACGAAAGGGTAGAGATCGATGATGAGTCGGATTAGTTCGAACTCCGACTCGAAATTGACAGACCACACTGACCGAACTACGATGGGCTTATCGGTGGCGGCCGGAGGTGGTGGCGGCGGCGGTGGCGGTGGCGGCGTGAACATGGCATCTGGTGATTGTGAGATCCAGATTTTAGAGAAAGAGGGAGAGAGGAGGTCTGGTTCGATGGAGATGGAAAAGTGGGTTTTCTAAGAAGGTGTATTTATAGAGAGAGATGAAAGAGGGACGTGGAGGTCAGGCGGTTTTGGGCATTGCCGGAGTAGGTCCGAAAATTGGGTTAAAAAGGTGTTTTTGGAAATGATGATAAGATTTTTTTTTTTTAATAATATTCAAGTGTAATAAGATGAGAACATTTTTTAAAAGTAATTCTATGTATTGTTTCATCTTAATTATTTGCGTGGTTGGATTTAAATTTTAATATATAGATTAAAAGTTAATTTTTTAATTTTTTGAGTGGTATAAGTGATGTAATTTTTTTTATATGAGAGGTCAGGCGGTTTTGGGCATTGCCGGAGTAGGTCCGAAAATTGGGTTAAAAAGGTGTTTTTGGAAATGATGATAAGATTTTTTTTTTTAAAATAATATTCAAGTGTAATAAGATGAGAACATTTTTTAAAAGTAATTCTATGTATTGTTTCATCTTAATTACTTGCGTGGTTGGATTTAAATTTTAATATATAGATTAAAAGTTAATTTCTTAATTTTTTGAGTGGTATAATTTTTTTATATGATTTTTTAAAAAAAGTCATAAAATAATTAAAATATTAATTTTTAATCAAACTTTTCAAAATAGGAACAGTGGTATCTATGATGATTGAGGAAGGTGGTGTGCCTATAAAGGCATGATACGGGCTCATGAGGGTGTTTTTCGAATGTATTTTTATAATTTAAATTATTTGTATTGGAAGATTTGTTTAGTGAATCATTTGTAGAAGAAAAAAATCAAATAATTAGATTTTTATAATCCATAAGATGGCCACATTTGTAAAAATAAGCGTTTAGCATAATTTTGATAATTTTTTAAAAAATAATTATTGTCCAATCATGGTGCTATATATATTCGATTAATCTCATTTTATATATATATATATATATAAATAATATACTCAATAAATTTTATAATAGAGTGTTTTGGGAAATTGGTAAAAAGTTAACTTCTTGACTTTTTTAGTATATTTTGTATTTTTGTGAGTAAAAAATGTGAAAGGTAATGTGACTCAAAATAGGTAAAAAGCTAAAAGTTGACTTTTTACCCTCTTCCCAAAAGACTACAATATGGACGGTTTGGATCATCAAAATAAAATCGAGACAAATCTCAATTGGGGCGTCACAGTTGAGTGCTATGACAACACCCTCTCTAAGTTCGAGATTTATGTATAAAATAAATCTGAATTATAATATAATAATTTTGATAATTTCTGAATAGTTAAGTTTGAATTTGTAGTACTATTATATTTTAAATCAATGTAAAAATTTAAAAATAATCATAAATTAATGATAAACTTTATCAATATTAATATTTAAGGTCATAAACTTTTTTTATATATGTGTAATAATTTCCTCAACTTACCTCTCACGGGTAATTTTCCTTACAAAATTAATAAAAGCGATTTTAAATTTTGAATTTTCTTTTGTGTGTCTTGAGTCATTTATTAGTGGGATCATTAATTAATTATTTGAGTTTGATTTATTAAAAGTTGATTTGAAATTGGTTTGTTATATAAATTACCCACGGTTCGTTTTGGGGAAAATCATTTTTTGGAAAATAAGTTTTAGAATTTTTTGGTTTTTGATACAATAAAAAATGCAAATTAATAGGAAACATATTTCATGTTTAACAAAAAAACAAAATTATATTAAAAAATGAAAAAATCTTTCAAAATAAAGTTTTACTAATGTCACCACACTATCGCTATCACTCTCACTTCCACTACTATTACCATAGCCATTGCCACCATCATTGTCACTATCACTGCCACGGTTGCCCCACCACCATGCCACCACCTCCACCTCAACCTTCACCTTCATTTCACCATCTCCACCACCAAATATAGAAAAATATTTTCTCCAAAAAATATTTTATGAGTTTTTTTTTTTGTAGAAAATGTTTTCTAATTAAAAATATTTTCCCCCCAAACAAACGGAACATAGTTAAATATAAGGTCTGTTTTGGCAACCTATTATTTTACTCAAGAAGAATACCAAAAAAATTAATTAATTTTTCCCTCCTTTTTTATATATTTTCTTAAAAATTAAAAAAATTAATTATCAAAATAATTCTAAATATACCTAAAAATTTGTATAATAATTTATTATTGAGCATGATAAATATATATACATATATACTTGTACGGGGAGCAAATATTCCGGCGTGCCCGTATTCCTTTCTTCCGAGCTCCGTCGATATCCGATCACCTGCGAGCAAATAGGGGTGAGCTACCCGGCGGTGTGTGGCCGGAAAAACCCTCCGACGATCAAGTTAGCACACACCTTAGAAGGAATATAGAGAAGGGGGAGAGTTTGTGTGTAAGAATTTCTTACAGAGATGTTCGTGTGTTGCGTATGGGGGGCGCAGACATTCTTATATACCTTCTGAGCCCCATATCCACTCCCTGTCATCTCCTGACACGTGGCTCTGCTATCCCATCTGTCAGCATAAACCATGCCGTTCATCACCTGCTCTCAACTGCCTGTCAGCATAGCTGGAGCTCGGCAGCCGAGCTGCCCTACCTCGGTCATACCATGCTTCATACCTTAAGCGCCTAACCGGATAACCGAATGAAGGACCGGGCTAGGTGGCATCTCGGCAGAGCTTAGCCCGGGCTCCTCCTTTGGTCGGCCTTCTCGCCGGTCAGTCAACTACCTCGGCTGACCGCGCCTTTCCGAGCGCCGGCCTCTCGGTCTGTCTGGTCTCGACAATCCTCGGACCGAGCATCCTAGCCTGACCGGTCACTTCCTGGCCGAGCAGCTTCTGCACGGTCCGGGGCAGCACACAGACCAAACTCTGCCCGGCCCAACTTCTGGTAGCCCACCTCCGGGTGAACAGTCGATCATCTCGGCCCAATGCTCTGCTGGGCCCTCAACTTGTTCGGTCTATACCTCGGCCCAACACCGGAGCATAAATCACCCTCTCGATAAATATATATACATATATACTTTAACAAAGCAAATTACTCTCAAGTTTAACTCTTGTTTGATTTATTAAAAAAGTGTTTACTATCAACTTATTATGTAGTTATTTAAAATTAAATATATTTTAAAACTCATTAACTTTTATAACTAATTTTGAACAATTTATTACTATGTAATATGCAATAGTCATAATTTTACTAACTCATCACACATATAATCAATTGCAAAAATAATTTTGGCTCAACATAACCTCACTATTTTATATGTAGGAACATAATTATTTTTGGAGTCGGTTATTAGTTTTACATCTATAGGCTAAATATTTGGAGTGTGTGTAATTCGGTTTAGGTTGATTGAAAATGTATAATCCAATAATCAAAACCGCAACTAACTATTTTATAAAATTTAGAATCAAATCAAATTGTGAAAATTTTGGAATGAAACCAAACTGGACTAGTAAATGCATAAGACAGTTCGGTTCTATTAAGAAACTTCCTAATATTCACAATATGATCATAAAATATTACTTGCATCAAACAACAAGCCATCATCTTTAAACCTATTAAGGGTTATTTTAAAGTTTGGCATACCTCAAATAATCCATCTTTTTATCTTTTTTTTATCACATCACTTCTCTACTTTTTTACACATCTTTTCATAAAAACATAAAAAGTACACTTATTTAGATCATTCCAAACCAGCTGACTTTTTTTACTTATAAAAAGATATGTAATGATATGATTCAAACAAACTAATAAGCCAAACATAAACACTAAACACATAATGAAATGCTAATGTCTTACAAGGGGTATGTTCCCCACTCCTCCGAAACATCTGTGTTTAGTTCTGTGCACTTATTTATATTTAAAGTGTTTGGTGTAATATTTTTCACAATTTATGATAAAAATTGATTTAAATATGTTGAGAAAAATTAATTCTTTTAAAAAAATGATACTCCTAACTTCTCTTTAAGTTTTAGTTTGTGAATGTTGGACTTACTCCTACATCGTCAATTTGATCTAACCCAAACTTAGTTAATATAATGTAAGGGTCTTTCTACTAATTGTCAATTAATTTTGAGTTGAATGTTTTAACATGTATCAGAGTTGGGTATTGGGGGACTTCTCAACCTCTGTTCAATTGGACCTCTCAATAAGGCTTATCTGATATAACACATCGTCAATCTGATATAACACAACTCAAACTTTTGTTAATATAATATATGGGCCTATATATTCATTGTTACTTGTTGTCAATTGTAAAATTCCCATATTACTCTCATGCATATTTTTTAAATTACCATTTTACCCTCCACTAATGTTTCCAAATTGCCATGCAAAAAGAAGCAAGGGTATTTTGGTAATTTCACTAGTCGGCTTATTTCTATCTTTCCAAATGCAAATATGCTCAAAAAAGCTAGTTTTTTGCTTCTCGTTTGGCAACTTTCAATTTTAATTAACAAATTAAAAAATTACTATAACTTGTCACATCATTTTTTTAAACTTTTTTTTCATATATTTTCGTAAAAAGTTAAAAATTACTAAAATAGTCCATTAAGCAAGAAGTTAGCTTATTTCTAACTTTTCAAAATGCCTCTTAAAGTTAAAGAATCAATCCTTACTAAAAGCGAAAATACCCTTACAATTTTGACAACTAAGAAAAAAATTAGTTTATTGACTTATTTGAATCACATCACATCTCTACTTTTTTTTATATGATTTTTTTTTTAAAAAAAATAAAAAAGTTAGATTTTCCCTACTTTCTAAAATAGGCCTAAAATCAACTAAAAGCAAAAATACCATAATTTCTTCCCGAAATACGAATTATTTCCTAAGTTGATTATTTTCCTTCCGTTTAACTTAACGGTGATGCTACATACATAAATTAGTACACCAACTAGTGTTATGTCATTATTACTGACTACACCTATTAATTAAATTACAAATACCTAAAACCTCTAAAATTATGTTACATCAGCAGTTAGTATACTAATTAATACACTAATTGATACATATAGTATTATTTTTAAGCTAATTGTTGGGCTTATATATATGTTTATCGGTTGAAAAAGAAAAGGGATCAACATTATTGTGATTTTTATCGAAAATTAAAAAAGTTCATTAACT